GGAAAGCATGGCCCCTGGATTCTCTATCAGCCTAGAACTAAAACAATTTCTGAAGCCAACTCTTCAGACAGGGATTGACTGGACTGTGGGACATAAAGTGATACTCGTGAGGAGTGTGCCTCTTAGCTCAAGTAGATACAAGAGACTAAACAGGCAGCTTCTGTCCGGAGGCGAGATGAGAAGGCAGAGACGGTTAGGAGCTGGTTGAAAGGACATGGGGAATCAGAGGTGGAAAGGAGGAGTGTGCTGTCACAGTATGGGAGAGCAATTAGGGTCACAAAACAATGTATGTATAAATTTTCATAAGGGAAAAAAAAAAGCTAGTGAGCAGCCATCTAAGATGCTTCAATTGGTCCCAACCCACTTGGAGCAAAGGAGAATGAAGAACACCAAAGACACAAGGAAAATATTAGTCCCAGAGACAGAAAGGGCCACATAAACCAGGGACTCCATCACCCTGAGACCAGAACTAGATGGTGCCCAGCTACCACCAATGACCACCCTGACAGGGAACACAGCAGAGAGTCCCCGACGGAGCAGGATAAAAGTGGGGTGTAGAACTCAAAGTCTAGTAAAAAGACTAGACTTAATGGTCAGACTAAGACTTGAGGGACCCCGGAAGACATGGCCCCGGGGCTCTCCGTTAGCACAGAACTGAAATCATTCCTGAAGCCAACTCTTCAGACAAAGATTAGACTGGACTATGGGACATAAAATGATACTCATGAAGAGAGTGCTTCTTAGCTCAAGTAGATACATGAGACTAAATGGGCTGTTACTGTCTGGAGGCCAGATGAGAAGGCAAAAAGGGACAGGAACTGGTTGAATGAACATGGGAAATCCAGTGTGGAAAGGAGGAGTGTGCTGTCACATTATAGGGAGAGCAGCTAGGGTCACATAGCAATGTGTGTATAAATTTTTGTATGAGAAACTGACTTGAACTGTAAACTTTCACTTAAAGCTTCCACTGGGGCCTACCTGGAAGAAGGTGGGGGTCAGGGAGGACTTCCTGCAGGAGGTAATGCTGAGCTGAGACCCAAAGGGTGAGAATGAGGGTGGGGAGAAGCTTTCCAGGTGGAGGGAATAGCATGTGCAAAGGCCTTGAGGTGGAACCATGCTTGGTGTGCAAGAGGCCAGTGTGGATGGAGTGGGGTCAGTGTTATGGATTGAATTGTGTCCCCCCAAAATATGTGTTGTAAATCCTAACACCTATACCCTCGGATGGGCAAATCTGCTGCAAAAGACCTCTTTAAAGTGTTGAGAAGCAAAGATGTCACCTTGAAGACTAAGGTGTGCCTGATCCAAGCCATGGTGTTTTCAATCGCCTCATATGCATATGAGAGCTGGACAGTGAACAAGGAAGACTGAAGAATTGACACCTTTGAATTGTGGTGTTGGAGAAGAATATTGGCTATACCATGGACTGCCAAAAGAATGAACAAATCTGTCTTGGAAGAAGTGTGACCAGAATGCTCCTTAGGAGGAAGGATGGCAAGATTACGTCTCACATACTTTGGACATGTTATCAGGAGGGACTAGTCACTGGAGGAGGACATTATGCCTGGTAAAGTAGAGGGTCAGGGAACAGGATGAAGACCCTCAACAAAATGGATTGACATAGTGGCTGCAACAATGGGCCCCAGCATAACAATTGTGAGGATGGTGCAGGCCCGGGCAGTGTTTTGTTCTGCTGTACATAGGGTCACTATGAGTTAGAACCCACTCTACAGCACCCAACAACAACAACATAGCATTGGATGGAGCCCTGGTGAGGCAGTGGTTAAGAGCTCAGGCTGCTAACCAAAAGGTCAGCAGTTCAAATCCACCAGCTGCTCCTTGGAAACCCTATGCGGCAGTTCTATTCTGTCCTATAGGGTCACCATGAGTGGGAATTGATTCGATGGCAATGGGGCTTGGTTTTTTTGGTTTATACCCTTGGATGTAATCCCATTTGGGAATACGGTTTTCTTTGTTATGTTAATGAGCCCATCAGTGTAGGGTGTGTTTGAAACCAACACTTTTGAGATATAAAAGGAGCAGATTAGGCATAGAAGCAAGGAAGCACAGATGGGGGAAGATGGATGCCACGTGGAGCTCACCAAGGAACCAAGGAACAGAAGCTGAAAAGAGACAAGGATCTTCCCCCAGAGCCCACAGACGGAGAGCCCCCCGCTAGAGCCCACACCCTGAATTCAGACTTCTAGCCTCCTGAACTGTGAGACAATAAATTTTCGTTCGCTAAAGCCACCCCTTTGTGGTATTTCTGTTACAGCAGCTCTAGGCCAACTGAGACAATAAGGGGGAGCGGGAGGAAGATCGTGCCCCAAATTGGAGGGGAACGCATGAATGTTTATATAAATATGTACAGAAAAAAACGGAGAGAAATAAGCGTAAACGTTGAAGGTGAACGATCTATAGGCAGAGTTATAGCCGAGTTTTATTTTCTTCTTTACACTTTTCTATTATTTCCAAATTCTCTACAATGAACATGTATTTCTTTGTAAGGAAAGGGGATGGAAGTAGGGGGAGAGAGAAAGAACATTCTAAGTAGAAATCCCCGAAATCTCAGCCTTTTAAGAGTCTGAAGGAAACGTTTGCAACCTAACAGCAACGTGATGGTGATGAACTGCCCATTGTTATAATAAAACGAAGCTGGCTGCTCTCGAAGCCAGGGGCTGCCGTGATTAATCACGTGATGTGTAAATTTTCAGGCATGGGGGTGGGGATCCCCGAAGGCAGGGATCAGACTCGCGACTTCACCGCAGAGCCACCCTGTCTGTTCCTCGGGAGATTGGTACCCCCAGGAAGAGTTCGTCACACGGAGCGCGGCCCAGGCCATCGGCAAGGTGAGGAGAACCCCTGAACTTAATACCAAAAAAAAACCCCACTGCCTGCGGTCATTTCCCACTCCTAGCGACCCTGCAGGACAGAGTAGAACTGCCCCATAGGGTTTCCAAGTCCGTAAGTCTTTACCGAAGCAGACTGCCACCTTCTTCTCACGCAGAGCGGCTGGTGGGTTTGGACCGCCTCCTTTCTCGGTTAGCAACCAAGGCTTAACCACGCTGCCCTTAACTCCACAGCAGCTGCGTTTCCCATTCCGGCCACTAGGTGGCGCCGCCGGCTACTGTCCAACACCCAGGGACCACCCTAGTGGCCTTGGACTTGCTAGGGCCTTCTCTGCCCCTCAGTTTCACCATCCCTGAAACGGGCATAATACTAATTTTGAGCAATAGGGTGTACTAAGACCTGAATGAGGGCAGTGGTGGTTCTGAGGCAGAATTCCCACCTTCCATGCAAAGACCCAGGTCTGATTTCCAGCCAAAGCACCTCATGCACAGCTACTAACCATCTGACAGTGGAGGCCTGCATGTTGCTATGATGCTGAACAGGTTTCAGCAGGAGCTTCCAGACTAAGATGGACTATGAAGAAAGACCTGGCGATCAATTTCCAAAAATCAGCCGATGAAAACCCTATGAAGCACGATGGTCCGATCCCACTGTACATGGGGTTGCTCTGAGTCATGGGGTAACAGCAACAATAACAATGACCTGAATGGTTGATTTAACCCCAGAAAAACGCTCCATGCCCTAAATTTCTAAGATTTTTCCACAGGGTGTCATGGACACCAACCCCCAACAAAGTTTATCCAAGTACTAGAGTCAAGCCATAGATGGGGAAACTGAGGCCTGGCGTGGGGCTACGACTTGCAAGAAAGCCTCAGAGTCCTTCTTCCCCCTGGGTGGAGTCTGCGGCAGCCTCAGGGATCAAAGCATCACAGAAACTCGACACATATGGGAAATTCTGTGCTTTCGCGACTGTTCTACGAGAGAGAATGCATAGAAGACCCAGCAGTGGGACTTGGGGGCCACAGAGAGCAGGGGACACATCAACCCAGAGACAGACACCTGAAGACAGAAGACACAGAGGCCTACAGCAACGATGTAAACACACAAGTATCCGTCTTCAGAGATGGCCCCCTTCATGCTTCCTTCCCCAGCTCCAGCACCAGAATTGGATCTGGATGATAGTTCCATGCCAAAAATCCCCCCATTTCAGGTTCTCTTGCAGCGAGCTGCCGCACACTTGAGCAGAGGAGAAGAGGAAGGCGCTTGTGGTGAAGGGGTATTACTCTTTGGGGCTGGCTTCTCCCACCCCCCTACACACACATATTGCTGCCCCAGAGGCACATAGCAGGCATAGGCCTGGCACATAATACATAGCAGATGCTTAGTAAATATTTGATAAAGAATGAAAGAATAAAGTGATAGTCATGGCTTAAGGGTGACTGCTGGAAAAGCTGAACAAGGAGTCTGGCAGGAACCCCCTCTCTATGCCAGGGATGGCTTCCAAAAGCGGGATCCCAAGGGCACTACAGAAGGCTGCCTCCAGAGAGCACTCTCAACTGAGCGTGGGATCAGAGTGGACCCGAGCCAGGAGTCTCCAATTTCACTCCAAGACCTACGTAACTAAAGCTGGATTGTCTCACTCAATTGGTGGAAGATTGAGGCCAGGACCACCACGGACCTACTCCTGAGAAGTCCACCTCCTGGGGCCAAAGGGCTTGGCCATCATGTTGCCCTCATAGTCCACGAAAGTCTTGCCCACAGTCCTCTGGCTGGCCAGCTGTGGGATCTGGGGGTCTGGGCTGGCCTTGAGGGACAGGAGCTCAATGTCAGGCAATTCTGAAGCCTCTCCATCCAGTGCCACCTGTTCTTCTTCCTCCTCCTCCTCTGCCTCCTCCAGGGTCAGCTCAAACTGAAACCTGTCAGGACCGCCCTGCTGGGGGCTGCTGGGGGCCGGGGGGCTGCGGGGGATCTTGCTCTGGTACCACTCGCGGTTGTCCTCTAGTGTGTCCAGCAGGTCCTGGGCATCCGGGTGTACCAGGTCAGCCCACGTCTCCCACAGTGGGTGGGCGATGTAGTCTATGAAACCCACCTGCAGGGGGTGGAGGGAGAGGTGGGTGCATGGTTAGTTGCAATGGACCCTAGTCCCAGTCCAGCCTCCAGGTCCTGGCCCTGGCTGTTCTTTCTGTCCAGAATGGCATTACCCAATCCTTACTCATCCTTCAAAATCCTATTTAAATAACCTCTAAATAAACTCTGTTTAAATAACGCCTCCTCTAGGAAACCTCCCCTGCCCCACCTGGTCTTCCCCGCCCTGCCACCATGGTGGCCTTTGCCCTCAGACCTGGGACTTCTCCACAGAGGCCGTGTGCTTGTCGCACATGGGGCTGATGTCTAGGCCTGTCTCACGCTCCTGGTCACCCTGCTGGAAGAACTCAGCCATGATGCGGTCAGTCCACTGGCGGTACAGGGGCAGCGGCTTGGTGGGGTTGCTGAGATCGGCACAGTGTACCAGGTTCTGCAGGACCTGGGGAGACCGAGGCTCAGGAGGGCGCAGGCTGGGCCGTCCCGAGCCTGGAATCCCCCTCCGCATAGCCTGGTACCACGGCCAACCCATCTCACAGGTGGGAAAACTGAGGGTCGGGAGGGGCTAAGACACAGGCATGTGATTCCTGGCACTTCTGTTTCTTCAATTTCAGCACACAGTGGGTGCTTTATAAATGCAGCTAAATGAGTGACTACTCAAGCCCACCCAGAGCCACACACTTGGATGCGGTCGGAGTAGTTGTCCAGCAGCAGGACGCCGAGACGGGCTACCTTCTTGGTCTCTACCATGGTCTTGAGGTCGGCTAGCAGGTTCATGTGTTTGGACATGTCCGTAGCCAGCACCTGGGGGCGGGGGAGGGAATGAGGTGAGAGGACCCTGCCTGCCCTACCCCTCGCTGCTCACCTCCCAGATGCCACTCCGGCTCCCACTCTCAGCCCTCTGAGCCTCAGTGTCCTCATCTGTGAAATGCAGCAGAGGAAGTGCAAATCCGGGACCAAGAACTATCTTGGTCATTGGCACAGTGCTGGGCACACAGTAAACCAAAACCAAACCAGTTGCTGTTGAGTCGATTTCAATGGGGTTTCAATGGCTAGTTTATTGGAAGCAGATGGCCAGGATTTTCTTCCGAGGCACTCCTGGGTGAACTTGAACCATCAACCTTTCCATTACCAGGCCAGTACCTAATCATTTATGCTACCCACGGACTCCGGGCACACAACAGACGATCAATAAATGCTTGTTAAATGAAAAAATGCATGAATGAGACCACAAAATGTCGACTGTCCCCCTACCTGAAAAATATCAAATGGAGAGATGTACTTTAAGTTCAGAAAAAGTTGCACCAGAAACCCCAGAACCTCAGTTTCCACATTACCTGCATATGCATTGCAGGACCAAGGGCCCAGCCACTCCCACCCAGGGCTCGGATGGTCACTGCCCTGTTTTATGGACGACGAAGCTAAAGCCCAGAAAGAAGTCATGCCCAAATCTGACGGAACCCCCAGCCACGCCACGATCACCCCACTCCATTATATGCAGAAGACAGGAAAGTCTCCAGGTCCCTCACCATGTCGATGACCATCCTGCGCAAGCTCAGCCGCTGCTTGGCACTGAGGTTCTGGAAGATGTCACAGTTCTCGGCCTGCAATAGCTTGAAGCCCACAGCCAGGTGGTGGTTCTCCAGCACAGAGACATCATTGTACATGAGTGCAAGCTCTGAGTCTGTAGGGGAGGCCAAGAGTCTTAAGCCCCACCCACCTAATCCACCCACCCAAAGGCAGGTTTTGGGAATTCTTAGCAAATTTCTACACATGCATTGAAGCCCGAACTCAAATGCCCCCTCCTCTAGACTTCCAGGATCCTGTCTCTCCCCTGGCCCTGCTTTACCTCCACGTGCCCACCCAATCCACCCACTCAAAGGTAGGTTTTGGGACTCCTTCACAAACTCCTACACATTTGTTGAAGCCCCAACTAAAATGCCCCCTCCACCAAGAAGATTTCCAGAATCCTGTCCCTCCCTCTGGCCCTACTTTGACTCAATGGAGCTGGGGGTGTCTGTGTTTGGCTCTGCCTCCCTGAGACCCCAGTTTCTTAAGTCCCAGGAAGAGCAGAGGGTAGGGCAGGGCCCCAGACTCACTGGTGTTAATCAGAAACTGGTTGGAGACCCCAGGATGGTCCACGTCATGAATAGCACTTGCAAAGATGGCAGCCAGGACTTCCAGGTCTGTGAACACAGCCTGGGTGGGCACAGGGCACAAGGGGTAAGGCGAAGGCTCTCTGCACCAGTCTGGCCACCCGCCCCTAGTAGGACCATACCTCGAGGGCGGGAGTGGCCAGTAACACGTGCGTGGACTGCGCCACATCAGCGGCATGTAGGCTGTTGTGGTAGGCCACGTCAGCATGGTAGTGGCCCTCCAGCGTCAGCAGGTAGGTGACAAGTGTGTCAGCTGGGATCCGGAATGTCTTAAGTAGGTCCCGCTCCTGGTCCATTAACAGGTCAAGGCCTCAGCCTTGGGGTAGTGGCACACACTGTTCCCACTCCTTCTTTCCTTCTATCTGTTCCTCAAACACCCCCTCCTTCAGGATGCCCTCCCTGCTCTCCCTTGGTCCCTGTCCTTCCCCTCTGGCCCAGACCTCACCCCACAGGGCTAGGGGTATCTGTGTCCAGCTGTTCCCTCCAGACTAGGTTTCTTCAGTGCTAGTCTCAGGGCTGAAGCTTGTTGACAATGAATTTTTCAACTTAGCATACTCCTATTCATATTTCAAAACCCTATTCAAATGACCCCATTGAGGAGTGTCAGGGAAGGATTGAAGAACGAGGTAGGAAGAGGTGAAGGAAAGCCCGGGTGTCATATTAGAAGTCAAGGACAAGGGAGGTACCTGAAAGATGCTGAACGTGATGGCTGTGAGGGGCCTGTTCCTACTTAGCTCTGCTACCTTGAACACGTCAAGCCCCCACTTGTTGGTATCTTCCAGCTCCTAAAATGGGAAGGTTGGAGTTTAACCCCAGCCCAACTTCCCCAGACCCTGGAGCCTCAACCCTCCCAGGTCCACATTGAGCCCTACCTGCCCAATATACAGGGGGATAAACTGGGGCCTGAGATAGGGCATCTGAATGGAGCCAGGGCTCGAACCTGGGTCTTAGCATTCCACTTGGAGACCCACCTTGGCCAGTTGCCCCTCCTGGTCAGTATGGACACCGAAGCGAGGGACAGTGGCAGCAGAGAGGCTGGCACTGTGGGGGAGCTCACGCAGGCTGCTGATCTGGGACATAGGCTGCGGAGTCTCCATGGGGGTCACCCTGGGCAACTCCACCTCAGTCTGCTGGTCTGTAGGTGGGGCAGGGTGGGGCTCAGAGAAGCCAATTCACGTACCAGGATCAGCCTAACCTGGTCTCAGGTCTTGGACCTTGACAAACATCAGGAACAACCTATTTCCCTTTTCACCTGGACCAAAGTAAGCTCAAATCAAAGCTCATTCATGGCCCATCTCAGTGACCGGTACTGCTGGGCATGGCCCCCCGACACCTGGGGCTCAGTATCTTTCCCTAAACAATCCTTTCTATGCCCCAAGCTGAAGATCCAACTATCTGGTACCCTCCAGCCCCTTGTGGCAAACTTCTATTCATGCTTCAAAACCCTGGCTTTAATGTCCCCTCCTCCTGGAAGTTCCACTCGTTCCTCCCTTTGACCCAGCTCTGACCCACGGGGCTGGGAGTGTCTGTGTCTGACTGTCCTGCGCAGACTGGGGTCTCCTCAAGGGCCACACCCAGAGCAGAGGCCTGTTAGGAGCCCTGACATCTCTTGAATGGTCTGTAATGAAACTTTCTTCCTAGTCTTTCTTCCTCTTCCTTCATCCTACCTCTACACCTTGCCCAGGCAGTGACCCATGACAGCTCACCCAGGAAGGTCCGGGAGATGTATTTGGACACCTGGTTCCCAGAGCGGCTGGTTTCAGAAAGGTGGCTCAACTCGCGGTTCAGCATCCGCTTGAACTGCGGGGGAGGGGCTGGCAGTAAGGATGGGGGTGCTGTGGGCAGAGGCAGGCCCCCTCGGCTATCTGGCTGCCCTCACCTTGTTGGAGGCCATCTCCCCCACCGAGTGCCGCGTCTGCAGGGTCTCCAGCTGGTCCAGGCACCAGTCCAACTCGTCCAGCGTCTCCAATGCTAGCTTCTGCCCAGTGTCCTCTGGGGAGCCAGCGGGTCAGGCGCCCATGCAGGGACACCCCACCACCACCATCACGCTTTGTACCCAGGAGTCTCCCCCTGGGGCCACTCAGGACTCCAAAATCCAGATTCCAGATCTGTCCCTAAGTGGCTGTGTCTCTGCCCTCCTCTGGGCTTCAGCCTTCCCATCAGTAATATGGGCGTGTAGGGTTCCAATCCCCGAGGGTGCATTTTTTGGAGATTACAATAAGGGTTCATGGGCTGGGTAGGTCCCCAGGGAGAGGAAGTTCACGGCTTGGGGGGAGGGGGGAGAGGGAGGTCACACATGTTACCTGTGGGTGAAGGGGGCTGACTGCCAGATGGGGGATTCCCGCTGGCGGTCCACCTGTGGGACAGTCGGCTTAGGGCTGGCCTGACTCCACCCGTCTAGGCCCGCCCCAAGTCCTCCAGGTCTCACCCTTCAACTCGTCCCACGTGGATCCATCAGAGTCCCATCTCTGCCCCTGCCCCACCCCCGCCTTCTTGCCTCAGGCCCCGCCCCCTTCCCCTGGCACCTCCCCCCGTACCTGGCGGTCCCGCCCCCCTCCTCCTGGTCCCGCCCCACCCTCTGCGTACTTGGCCGCACCGCAGCCTTGCAGGTGGGCAAAGGCCGCCACGTTGCTCCGAACCGTCCGCAGACTGGCCAGGACCTGGCGGGAGGGGGTGGTCAGCGCCAGGGAATGAGGGGTCAGCTCTGCCCGTGTGGCTTATGAGTAGAGGGGTGGACACCCACCTGGGCAAAAGGCGTCACAATCATGTCCTCTCCATGTCTGCGGGAAGACAGGCGATCAGGGAGGGTGGCAGGGAGGACACTTGCCACGCGTTCTCATTTTCCAGCTTCTACCCACACCATGTCATCTGCTGAGGGCGCCCCCCACTGAGGATGCCCCCTCTGGGCACCCCCTGGTTCCTGGGTTCCGTTAGTCTCTCCCCTCCCCTCTCCCCTCTGACCACTCAGTTTATCTCCATCTCATAAAGGAAAAATTGAGTCCCAGCGACAGCAGAGACAGTAGAGCCAAAGCAGAAATGATCATATTTCCCTTTTCACTGTGGCTACCCCATACCTTTTGCCGTCGAGTCAATTCTGACTCATAGCGAGCCTTATAGGACAGAGTAGAACTGCCCTATAGGGTTTCCAAGGAGCGCCTGGTGGATTCGAACTTCCGACCTTTTGGTTAAGAAGCCCACTACGCCACCAGGGTTTCCATTGTTTGTTCAGTTGCTGTTAATTGGCCTTAATATTTCTGACACCTAATCTCCTACCTCCACCCCAGCCTAAGGCTGAGCACGGAGGCTCACCTGGAATCATCTGCTGACAGGTTGGCTGCATAAGTGAGTTACCTGCCTGGCAAACTCTTATTCAAACTTCAAAGTCCAGCTCAAATGGCCAGTTGAGGGAAGGTTGCTGAATAGAGGAATAAGAGAAGGAGGGAGGGACCAGGGGTGGCATCCCACCAGCCCAGGACTCACAGATCGCTAGCCACGGAGGAGTTCCTGGACATAGCCTTGGGTGAGAGCTCGTAGTCGCTGTCTGAGCGGTACAGGAAGGACTCCCGCCGCTGGCTGTGCGGGGCAGAGGTCTGGCTGGCCCGGCCCAGGCCTGAGCTGGCCTGAGTGTCCAGGGCTCTCCTCCCGCAAGAGAGCCCATTTTCTAGGTCAAAGCTGGAGGCAGAGGAGACAAGGTCAGAACCAAGGGTTCTGGCATCCGAATGCCAAGTCGAGGGCCATGTTCTCCCTGGGGCCATTGGGGTGTGGGCCAGGTTTGTCTACCTGAGGCCCTTACGCCTGAGGGTAGTGACTGAGCACCCTTGTTATGAAGGAGGAAACTGAGGCCCAGGCTGCACGAAAAACTCCTAGGCTGTACTTTCTGAAGAGGACTCCGGTTCTGTCTGGCCGCAGCTGGCTCCAGGGATCCCTTACTGCCAGGGAGAGGCCCCGCCTTCAGCCCTCTGGCCCCACCCCCAGAAACCTAACCCCGCCCGCAGTTTACTGACCTCGGCCCCAGGGCATATGGTCACCGCTCCCAGTCAGCCAGGCCATGAACTCAGCCCGCGCTACTGCTCCCCGTCTACCTCAGGGCCTTTGCACAGGCTGTGCCCTCTCCCCGGAGCCTCTTGCTCACTCATGCTGTAGGATCCCAAGGTCCCTGTTCTGGTCAATCCCCGCCTCCAGTTCTCAAAGCCCTGTCCCTCCCTCCAGCCACATCCTAACTAGACAAAGTGGTCTATGCCCCCTGCCTTGGGGTCAGAGGTTAAAGAAAGCGTAGGGGGCGTGGGGTAAGGACAGAGATGTGGGGGTGATGGCCGGGGGAGGGGCTGACTGTGCGTCATGGCCTTTTGAAGAGGCTGGCGGAAGAGGCAGAGACAGGAAGCCACTCAGGCCCCCTGACCAAGGGCTAGTGTCCATCTAGTCCCCTGCCTGTGACCTTTGGGTCAAAGGTCACCTCGTCCCTGTCCTCGGGTCTGAGTCAGCTCTGAGCAGGCCCAGGTTCGAGCAGTTTCGAGTGAGTTCGGACTTCTTCGGCTACGTCCGGCCGCGCTCGGGTGGCTTCGAGTAGGTCTTGGTGGCGCTCGGGAGAGGTCGGGTATATTCGGCTGAGTCCGGCCACACTCGGATAAATTCGGACATGCTCGGCTGAGTCCGGCCGCGCTCGACCAGTCCCGAGGGTTCCGCGGCTCTGAGCCCCTCATCGCGGGAGTGATTCCAGACCCCCGCTCCGTGACGTCAGGGGGACAGGGCTTCTTAACTCTTCCCTGCCCAGATGGGTAGGGGGCGCCGTGGGCCTAAGACGCCCTTAGAGACGGACTAGCGACAGCGGATACTCCCAGATTCTGCCCCCCCGAGGGGAAGGTCTGTAGGTGGTGACCCCCAATCCCTCCTTTACCCCTCCCCAAAGGCTTCTGAGAAAGCGCGCCTACGGACAAATGAGGAAACTGAAGCCGGAGCGGTCTCAGGGTCCCGAGTTGGAATCCACATCCCGGGCGCAGAGGGTTAAGGCGCCTGGGCTGGGATTTTCTCCGGGCAGAAGGAGCTGTTTTTCTTTCTGCTCTAAACTTAGCCGGGAGCAGCGGGGTCAGGCTTGCGGTTCCATGACGCGGGCTCCGCGGGGCGAGGTCGCTGGGCTTGTTGGAATCGCGAGGCTGCCCATTGATCAGACGGGTAAACTGAATCACCGCGGGGTTTCGGAGGTCCCGGGCCGCAGACCTGGGCTCAGGCCTGCCCGCGACAGACCCGCTATCCCGAGCCTCACTTTTTGGAGGTATCGGGGGTTGCTCCCTAGATGCCCCTATGCTCTTTCAGGAGCCCTCCCCGAGGACCCTCTCCAGGGCCGGGGACTCCTTCCCGGGCTGAGATAGTGGCATCAGGGACCACGGTCACGATCCCCGCCCGCAGTTCAGTCACTATCTGGCCGGATATATTTGGATAAATGATCTTTTGTTTCTGAGCCTCGGGTTGCCAAACTGCAAAATGGGCACAAATGCGGCGCAAACTGAGTGCGTGGAGCTGGCCCACGGTCGGCGCCCACGAGCCCCACCTCTACCCCAACCTCACCTCCGCCCCAGGACACAGCCGCTTCCTGTAGGGACCGGATTCGAACCCAGAGCAGTGCATGCAGTCAGAACCCTAACCCTAACCCTAACCTCTAACCCTTACCCTAACCCCTTAACCTTCCGTAACCGTATCCCTTAACCCTAAACTCTAACACCCAACCCCTAACCCTAACCCCTTAACTCTTAACTCTAACCTAAACCCTAACCCCAGAAGGACTCAGCAGAGTGGGCTCCAAGTCAGCCCTGGTGAACTCGGGCATACATGTGCCCTTGTACAGCCCCATGCCCCGTGCCTCAAAGGCCCCCATTGAATCAGGTGTTCCCCGTGGACACCGAGAGCTCAATGTGAGGCCCTTGGGCCATTCTTTCTGGTTCAGGACGGATGGCAGGGGACGGGGAGACTAAGGGGAGGGCTATCACACCCCTCCCCCACATATGCTGCAAGGGCCAGGAGGAGTCATGAGCTGTGGGCCTGCTCTGGGCCACACAGCTGGAAGAGGACAGACAGCGGGTCCCAGGCGCATGTCCACGGTCGGGTGGAGGGAGACAGATGGAGAGAGAGACAGAGACAGGGGTGGGGGAGAAATACAGAGAAAGGGAGGAAGGGCAGTGAGGCCAGACCCCGACCCAGCCCGGCTGTCCCTGTCCCTGCGCTTCCCGCCCCGTGCTGGCCCTGTCCCTCCTCACCACAGCGGATGGGCCACGGTGAAGCGACGCTGTAAACGGATGCTCTGGTTCACCAGGAGCTTCCTGAAGAGACCAGGAGAGCCGCGCGGGGAGCCCCGCGGGGTCCCGGGCCCAGGGCCTGGGGCGGGAGTGGGGGACCCCTGCATCACCGGGACCTGCGGCAGCTGGACGGCGCCGGGCTGCGCGGGGACCTTTTCTGGACGGTCGCAGGGGCGGGGCCTGGCGGGGACAGGACTGAAGGCGCACCGGCCCCGCCTTGCCTCGGCAGTCCCAGTCGCCCCCCGCCCCCGCCCCCGCTTTCCGCGTGGACAAATAGGGGAAACTGAGGCACGCGGCAGCGCGCAAATCTTTGTGCTCCCTCTTTAGACGCCTGTCCCGTGGGGCTCAGGCGCTGACATTTGGGCCTCGTCAGCCTCTGCCGCTTCCCCCTGCCCACACTTCCTCCACTATTGCCACCCACGGTACCGAGAAGAGTGAGATGCGGAAGTCAGCGAACGGAGGTGCGCAGAAAAACCGCCACCCTGTCCTCCATGATGGGGCAGCCCTGAGGCAAGTGGAGTTTGTAGAGGGGCTGCTTAGATCCCATGCCCCACGCGGTATTTCCAACCCCTCTGCCCATTTTCCAGGTGGGAAAAATGAGGCTTGGTGCCAGCAAGAGGCTGCCCAGAAACTACAAGTTCTTAATCCTTTTTCCAGGTGGGGAAGCTGAGGCTTGGAGAGAGGTGGTCACAGGCAGGAGGATTCATGGCAGGGCCGCACGGCTGAGACCCAGCTCACCCCTCTCCCCGCCCCACCCCAAGTCCCCGCATAACTCCCCACCTGATGTGACATTCCCCAGGTCCTGTCTCTGCATCCTTTCACTGCCTCTCCTGCTGTCTCCGCTGGACAAACATCCGCACTCCACCCTGTCTGGTCTTCCATCCTGGAAGGCCTCATTTGCCTCCCCCTTAGCCAGGAAGGACAGAGCGGGCCTGGGAAAGGGAGGTGTCTCTGGTTTCCCTGGGAGTTTTGGGAGGGCTGTGCCAGGCGCTTAGCCCTCGGAATGCTGGGGTCGAGCTGGCACTGTTTCCATTTTACTCAAGGAAACGGAGTCAAGGAAGGTGTCACACACAAGGAAGGACTCAGAACGCCCACATCACAAGCAGAGGAAACAGGCCCAGGGAGGCTGAGGCCGCACAGAAATCTCTGGGCCAACTGTGCCCACTATTGTGGGATGAGCCCCCAGCCCAGGCTTGGGAGCTTGCTAGTTTGGGGGTCTCCAGACAAATGCTTTAGACTCCTCTTTCTGGAGATGGGCTACAACATTGCTGGCAATCTGGAGGCATCTGAGACACAACCTGGGCTGACCAGGGCTATGTAAGGGGAGCACCATGAGGAGGAAACCCCCAA